AAGTAGTAGTCTTTTAAGAATTGTTGAGATGAACTTTACATTAACATAATGTATTGAACTGTATTTAATATTTTTATTTATCGAAACAATTTATGGATTAATTTTGTTTTGTTATTATTATAAATTTGCTGGTAATCAAATAAATAAATAGTTCTTAAAAAATTAAATTGATATTTACGACGTGCATAAGCATGCCTTAAATAGCATTTTTTAAGGCGTGCAACAGAACGTTGTAAAAAGTGCGATACTTTTTACGCGCGTGCTTCTAAATTTCATTTTTATGGCGTGCAGCTGAATGCCGTAAAAACTCATTTACGGCGTTCTATAGACGTCGTACTATGCACGCTGTAAAAGGTAAACCACTTTTTACGGTATGACTTTATACGGCGTGCAGGTTTTTACGGCTTACATTACACGCCGTAAAAAGTACATTTTGTTGTAGTGTATGATTCCAATTTCGAAAGCTAACGGACAAAGTATGCCTCTAAAACTTTCAATGCAATAATTTTGACCCTGAGTAGATTGTAGTAGGCACCACGGGTACTGGGGGACCGGGTCTAGAGTAGCTAGTTAAAGCTAGCCTTAAGGCACAATAGCTATGGTGTAGGTGGACTATTGTGTCAAATTACAAATTCGAAAGGTGTACAAACTTATAAAATCTTTTATTCAATACCATCATTTTTCCCTTAAAAAACCATATGGGATTTTTATTGGAGACCTTTACAATCCATCCAATTAATTCAATGGCCGACAACATTAAATTATCCAATTTAATGTCTTGACCCAAATAACATTAAATAATCCAATTTAATGTATTGATCAATTAATTCCAACAGCAAAAACATTTTTAAATGGTTGCACCAAATGCATTTAATAAAATTAATAATTTATGATCATCACCTCTTTTGACATATTTTTGAGCCATTTTCTTGATCGTTGGGGTCGGATCTTGGTATAGTTTCAAAGAACTCACCACCAACTATGCTATGCATATTTCAAAACGAAAAACTATTAAACCATGGACTTAAAATAGCTAGTCTAATATCGTTGTTTATTTTATGAAGTACGCAAATTTAAGGTGAAGTTCATTATGTTCCCATTTCATTTGGCTTGAACTGTCAAAACCGTCTCTAAAAGAAAATTGTAAACCCTCATGACTAACTAATCCTGGATCCCCCTATGGAAGTTGACGACATGCCAGAGTTGTTATAGTTTCTGAAAAAAAATTCAATGATATATGGATCTTGTAAGCAAATGCTTGATGTGAACTCAAATTGTTGCAGCAATTCAACCAGATCCTCAACAAAAAATTATAGGTTGAGGGCTTATGTGAAAAAATAGAATGGGAAATCATTTACTACTAAGTCAATAGGTTGGGGACTAATGTACAATTTTCCACAATATTATAAAAATAATATATAATAATATATTGAAAAAATGGACGGTGGAAAATTGTTACCGAAACTTTAGCATTTGTTATTTTAGATCCTTGTTATAAGATAGAAAAAATGTACATTTTTCACGTTTTAAATCAAACAACGCCAAAATATATTATTTTTATTTTTAATCGGGCCCATTAAAAGTAAACGCGGTGACATATATATATATATATACACACACACACACACTCCAAAACTCATTTAATAATTGCCCACGCTCTCCACCCATTACTGAGGGGTCGGGGATGGGTGGTCCAGAACATAGTTTAGTGTAAGTTGAGATACCTGGATATCAAAAGAAGAGAGAAAGAGAAGAGAGAATAAAAGTCAATAGACTTGTATATTATAATGAGAACAAAAACTCTATATTTATAGGGCAGGATTATGGATACAATTGTAATAATTTATAGGACTGTAGAGATACAATTATCATTCACTACTAAATTTACCATTTACAACAAAATCCACATATATAATCACATAAATAGTCCACCGAATTAATAAAAATAATCATAAATCAGATAAAAGTGGGCTGCAGTATGATAAAAAGAAGAAAATTATTTCAAGTGCTCAATCATTAGAAAGTGATAAAGGACAGTTTTTTTTTTTTATTATTTTTTTTTTGTCATGTTCAACTATTTTTCACTTTAAACTTATTAAATACTATGATTTGGAGACATTAGGGCCACATCAAGTAGGTGAAGTTCATAAATAAAAGTTATTTCCTTCAAGACATTTAAAGATTCTTCTACTGAATAACAAACATCCAGCTGATTAATACATGCAGCCCCAACAACATAATATGCCTATGTTTGTTTATGATTAAAATCTGTTTTGAATCTTATGTCAAACTTAACAATTAATTTTAACCACATATTTCATAGGATCCACAATCATACATTTCATCATTTTTTATCAAAATATACTAAAAATCTAATTTTAATCTACAACAAACATGGACTATAATTATATGGAGATTATGATTTATTACCTCGATTATGTCCATCTATGTCCATTGTCGTCGACTTCAATAACAAATGAGCACCGTTGTTGGAGGAGGATGGGAGGAGTTAGGTTTTCTAGTTTTTTTTTGGCCCTTTGATCGATTACGTATAAGGATTTTTAATAGATGAAAAGAGTTTTTGGCTGATTTGTTAATAAATAATTGCAACATTATACCACGTCGGCACTTTCATTTGACACGTCAGCTAATTTGTTAATGTATCAACAGTTGTGTTATATGTACAAAATTATTTATATATATATGATGCGATGAGATATAATTGGATCAAAATTTCATCAACTAAATAAAAAAAAACTCCTCCACTTTGTTTTTAACACTTCATCTTTATGTAAACTATTATATAATTTCATTATGTACAAGTAATATTATTCATTTTTCAAATGGTAAGTTTTTTGAATGATGAATAAAAATTTTCAATGACTAATGGGAAACATTTCGAAAATATCAGGGTGACCGTGTGGAAAACATGCTGACTTATAATGATTAGGCTCCTGTTTGGTTTGGTGGAGTTAAAGATAAGGGCAATTATTCTTGGCCCGGCTCAAAGCCAGGTCCCTCCTCCCTCCAATTGAGAGGTGCCACATAGGCCGAAGGAGCCCTATTTTCGGGCCCGACTTTGAGCCGGGCCCAATAGCATGGCTCGAAAATAAAATTTTCTTCTACTTTCATTAAAATCTCTAAAAATCTTTTTAATTTTAGAAAAAATCCATCAATTGCTCACAAAGAGTTCGAAAATCAACCTCTCAATGCCGCAAAACCCATCTGATCAGCTCACTCAGCTGCAATCTTATGGCCGCCCAACTTTATAACTTCACCATTTTTCACTCGCTCTCTTTCAATAAATTATTATACTCTTCGCCTCACAATCTCCACACTCGTCACCACCACAGGCCCCGCAATTTAACTGTTTTTGCCTGTTCAGTAAAGAAACCCAGGTTTTCATTTCCTTTCAATTATTCAGTTATTCCTTATTTGGGTTTCTATTGGCTGTCCGTATATCTGTATACATTTATTGGGGCCTGGGTTAGTTATATTTGTTGAAATTTTTATTTCTTGGTGTTTGATGTTTACGTTTTTTTTTCCCCTTCCTTTTTTTGTATGTGGGTGATGCAGAGCTAATAGGAAAGGGAAGAGCGATGAAGATCTTTGCAATGATATCAGAGAATTTTTATCCATGCTTGGACTTCCCCATAGTCATGCGCTCTCAATTAAGGAGCTCTCACAGCATGGAAGGTTTGATTTTTATGGTTTTCTTTCAGCTATTATTTACTCTAGTTATCCCATAATTTTATGGCTGAGAGAGGCGTCAGTGATTCGGAATGTTGCTTGCTACTAATGAAAATACGGACTAGTCAAAATCCTTGATCAATCTGTATGTTAATCATTCTCTAGTGTTTATATTTGTGTTCACTGTTCTGGGTAATGTTACATTTTAGGGCGTATGTACTTGCGACGATGATAATGCTACCATGACAAGGCACTGTGTCATTTTTGTGGCGTGGATAATGTGGTTCATGTCACTTATAACAGAAACATATTATCTGAGATTCTTAGCAACAATGTGTGATGCAAATTAAGCAATAAAAAGGACATGGGGATTTACTTATTTTGAGATTAGTACAATAATATGAAAATATTTAAAGCTGCTCGAAATATTACCTGTGTAGTTGTGTGTCATCTTGATATTTTGTATACCGATGAAACTAAAGTTATGATTTTTTAAATCCTTTTTTTAATAGACTAAAGGACTTTAAGATTTCAGCTGAAATCAGATATTAGGATGTTAGCAGTCCTATTAACAGCTGAAAATCTATTCTTTTCCCTGTTTCAGGATTATTTTTCTGTGTATACAGATGATTTGACCACTAAAAGAGGTCTGAATGTGTGCTAAATTTGAAATTTTCTTTGAGAGAAATGTTCAGGAAGAAGTTTCACAATTTAATTTCGAAATATGCTGATTTATAACTTCAGCACATGGCTGCTGCAGAGTATGATACTTATATCCTAGATAAAATTAATTGTAAAATTGAGGAGGCTCTTGCTTCCATTACTACATCATTTTCAAAGGCCAAGTTCAGATTTAGCGAAGAAGAAGGATACGAGGATGAACTAGAAGATAGTGTGGATGTGGAGGAAAAATTAGTTTTTTAAAATTATTTTAATGCCTATCTAACCAAAAATCTTTACCTTATGCTTCATAAGACCTACACAAACTCTAGGGAACCTCTGAATTGATATTACTGCAGTCATTTTCATCTTCTCTCAATATACAAAACGACTATGAAGTAACTAAAGACGGTATATATGTGTTTGTGCATATTTAATTCGTAATTCTGAATATTTGCAGGCAAGACCTTGCGAACATTGTGAGACGTAGAGGATATAAATATGTTAAACGTCTTCTTGAGACCTCAACAGAGACAAATGTCAACGGTTCTAATGCAGAGGAAGATTTGATTGGAAAACTGGAGGCACTTGGTGGTTGTGAAGGTGAATCTCTGGCCAATATATCTTCATTATTATATTATTTCCCATTTCGTAAAGATTGTGCAATTTAATTTTTTGAGTTGAAACTCTATTGTGGTTTAGTTTCAACTGGTCAGAATGAGAAGGCGGAAATTTTGGCAGAAGGTACTTCCTTATTAGGTGAAGCTGCCCAGGAAGACTCCACGAATTGCATAGAAACAGATGGACAGCTTAACTCTAATGACCAAAGTTTAAACTCGGATTGTTCCACTAATATATCATTGCAGGAAAAGGTGGCTCAGTTTATTCAGAGTGGAGAGTTGGATACTATTGAAGGTGAAGTTACAGATGAAGAACTCATATTTGGCTTGGTTCTTTATGCACTAAAGGTTTAAATTCTGATATCTGGCACAATGTCAAGTTGTATTGGCTCAGGATACATAAAGAAACTCATTTTGTTTGAGGGAGAAAGAGGCTTAATGGAATTATTCAACAAATAGATTTCTCTGCCTGGCTGTTTTCTAGACAATAAAAGGCATAAAACACTTAGGGTGTGTTTGATACACCACTTTTCCCTAGCAAATGGAAAACATTTTCCATTTCCACCATTTTTCTCCTGTTTGATGACACACTTTTTCCATGGAATTGTTTTTCTTCCTGACACACTCACGCTCTGGTTTTCTCACTTTTCATTGAATTTTTTTTTTTTGGGTTTTGTTGGTTTTTCATTTTCCAGCTTTCCTTCTTCTTCCTTTTTTTTTTTTTATTTGCAATTAGAAAAAATTGTAGACACAATGGTAAAAAATTTTATCACTTTTATTGACAATTTTCATACAAAACAAAACCAAACGAATGATATTGTGTATGGTAATTTTTTTTAAAAACAAAATTTTTTTTTGACAATTGAAATAAATTATAGACCCAATGGTAAAAAAAAATATATATATCATTTTAATAGACAATTTCCATAAAAATAAAGTTAAACGAACACCAAACGTTCAACACTTTTCAGATGGAAAATTATACCAATCAAACACAAATAATTACAATTCCCAATAAAACATATTTTAGGCAATTCAATTCCCTGTATTCATTTTCTATTCATTTAAATTCGACCTTTACAATCAAACGAACCTTTAGTGATTTTATACTTCTTGTTGG